ATTTCATTAGAGAAAGAAAGTAAGAAAGCAAGCAACTTAAGCTGTGCTGTCTCTTTAGAAAACCCATAATACCCTGTGACTAGTGTTTGTTTGTTTAATAAGGATTTTATATAAATAGACACAAAATATAACCGCTTGATCACCATCTGAAGCTTGTGCCTCTACCCATGACCAACTAGAAAGATATCTCCTCCGTTTACATGTCCACCGGACCTCTACCCTTCTATCTCCATCCCTTCCCTTCTCTCTACTGCCCTCTGTCCTTTCTTTTTCTTCTCCCAACTGGTCCCTCCCTAGCTATCTCTTCCCGGTGATCTGTTGATACGAGCCCGAGATGGCTCCCATATTCAACCATGGTCTACATGTCATGCACTGTACCTATTGCCTGGAAGGGCTATATCTTCTGCCAAAGTATTATATAGTGCTGCTATGTTCTCTCTAACGAATTAGTCCGGACCGGCCTTGGGAGGTCCTCCCTCTTTTTCTATGTCTTGTATTATGTTCATTGTTGCACATGTTCTTTGTACTCCCGAAAACTGTATTGTTGAAGATTGCTACACTGTAGTTTGCGATCAGTGTAGCCTTGTTGTACACTTGCAATTTTCAAATAAAAAATTTTAAACGTGAAAAAAAAAAATAGACACAAAATATGTAACCTATAATTTAAAAATATATAAGCTTTTAAAATATTTAAAATAAAACCTGCTCTTAATGATTTTCCTTCAAATGCAGTGTGATTCAGTTTGCTAAATCTCTTGCTAGACTTTGATTCTTTTGAGTTTAGGCTGGTAGTCCCCAACCTTTGTGAGCATTTTAGTCACATTCAAATATAACCAGAAGTTATTACAGTAAGTTTGGAAAATAACACTAAAGTAATTCCTGTAATGTAATTATATAAATTAGGCAAATGCCAAATGACTTCATGCTTACAGAAATGTATATTGTAGCAGGTGTTCAGTCACAATGGAACCAAGCCTCTGCTGAGAGACTGCAGCAAGCAACATGGAAGGTGATTGAGGGTCTTGTGGCTTCTAAGTCCCTAGCTGGGGATCATTTGTTTAAGCAGTGGTTACATTATTATAACTTATGCAACACCCATATGATAAAAGAGTAACCAGCTTTATTGTTCACCCATACTGTGCTGCCCACCTGCCAGCAGTATAATACACTTGCTATTATACAGAGAGTGCAAGTGGAGAGGTGCTGTACTAAGTAGCTGGAGAGCAAAGCAGCAAAGGTTGCCCATGCATTCCCTGCAAAGAAAAGTGCTATTTGCACTTGGTTCTCTAACGTATATTCTTTGAAAATGTAGAAACAGAAGTTACATTTCGTGAAAAGTTGAGATTTGCATAAAAATGTTATTCATCTGCTGGAGCTGCTTGTAAACACAGACCTGCCAGATAGACCACAACCCCACAGCCCTGAATTATTTTTTATAATTTAATGGTCAGCATTGTCTGGGCTGTGTGATACAGTTGCCACTGTCCAGTATGTTTACTAGCAGCCAGCAGTTCTATCACACAGCCCGGTAGCGCCAGTTATTCAGTTTTTATAGTGATCAATCAGTTAGCTAAGAGAACGCCCATATTTTAAGCTTCAGACTGGGGTGGGGCAACAGCTAGAATGAACACAAATATATAAGTGTGTTTATTCCACAGTGGGACCACTGATCTGAATGAGGCCAAGTGTTATATGTATTTGGTCCCCTGGAGGACAAAATAACTATTTACATTTTTTGTGAGACTTTTTCTTTAATCCTTAGCTCAATGTAAATAAACTGCAGATTTACCTATCTGGGCAGCAGTATTTGCAGTAGGTAACATATGATACCTGTATTTACCTTTACAATGCCCCCACTGCTCTGTTCAACCACAGAAGCTACATAAAATACCCAAAACTTGTGACATGCCCTGCCTCCCATTGTTCAGAACTTGGTGTCTGAGAGAACAACCACCAAGCTCCAGCATATTGTGGTCACATGAGTGTAGGGTCTGTTAACGTTCACAAATTATCCAGGAAGTGTGTTGAAGCAGATTGGTGGAGCAGAGTGATGGGGGGAGATCAGGGAAGTTATTTGCAGACACGATATGCTGCCCCTTAGATAAGTAAACCCAATTTACAAGTTTATTTAAATCAGCCCTTTCCATACACAGCTCCCAGACATGAGCAATTCGGGCTACACCCTGATCCAGTCTGTCCCTAAAGACCCAGTTTATATCCCAATGGACAGTGCAATATCAACCCATGAGAAGGTGAAACCAAACTTTCAATCACAACTTTCACGTCAAAACAACATCTCAATAACAACCTTCAAGACACCTTCTAGCATGTGTCACTGCTCTCTGCATTTATAAGAGATGAGGCCTTTGTTATTGACATTAGGCAAAAAGGAAAAAACTGCATACGAGTAACAGTACTATTTAGTTTAGCCTAGAAGGGTTGTATTTGAAATGGAGCAGATGAGGTAGGTACCACCATGTTTGTATGCTTGGAGAATGGAAAGGTTCACTATAAGGCAAACATGGTAATTCCCAATCATAGCAATTATAGCGGGTCCACCCCATTCCAGCTATCCTTATTTCTTGCATGTGTTGAGATTTGCTGTATAGAAATGAAGTCTATGTCAGTCATATGGAGCAGATGTCCATTTGTTCACCTGTCTTTACAAAATTGTCACTAGAGAGCTTATGACTCTTGTGTGAAGGTCTATAGAGGTAGCTCAAGTCACTGCTGACATGACTGAATGAAGATCTGGTTACTCAAGGGACAACTGATAAAAGGAGGATATATTAACTACACAGGATTTTGTGATTTTTTTTTTTTGTTCTATTCTTTTAATGGTTATGCAAGTTTTATGCTACTCGTGGTTTAGTCAATTACTATTTTTACTGAAGCATTCTATAGAGAAGGGAAGTCATATTAATACATTCAAATCTGTCATTTTAAGAAGATATTAATTGCAATGTTCAATCATATTTTACTTTGCATACCATTTTGTAAAAATGTATAAAGATTTTTTTTTAAAATACTTCAGCACTCCATAGAATCTATCAAATTATCGTTATCTATAGAAAAACTCATACATGATGCACTGTTAGATAAGACACAAAAGTGAAATTAAATTAGCTGATGATTTCCTTAGTGACAGGAAAGGTACTTATAAGATATAAAAGGAAGAGGTGTCATGCCCTATATGACTGTTCCACCAGAAGATTTTGTATGCAGTCGATATTTTAACAACCATATAAGACAAAGGAACTCCTATACTAAAGGAGTTCAGAATCTCCACTCGCATTTTTTACTTCAGTTATCTAAATAATGTGAAAAGCAAATTCCTGTTCACTTTGAATACCCAATCATGCGCAGATTAAGTAAACAGGAAGTTGCTTTTCACATGATTGGATAATTGAAGTGAATATTAATTTATTGAGTGAAGATTTTCAAAACCTTTAGTAAATGAGCCTCAGTATCTACTACACATGTATGTCTGCTATGCATCTATGCACATACGACCTATTGCCCAATGTTATTTCAAAAGGTTACTTCCTGAAAAATTGTTGGATGTGCAGTTTCCATGGAAGGTAGGCTGTCACTGTCTGCCAACGCCGGACACTGGCAGACATAAAGATCAACCAGCTCAAAGGATTTCTGGGCAGATATTGGTCAATTGTCCACATGTAGAATGACCATTAGCATGCTACAAACTCATGGTCAAATAAATGGAACTAGTTGGATTCTATGGAACTTGGAGATCCATTAAGGGAGAATGGGGTCCTAGGCAAAGTAGCAGCTTTGGCTCCTTCCTATCTCTTCAGTTGACACTGATAAGGATTACAATAGGCACAAATAATTCACCCCATTTTCATTGTCCGTACTGGCACGGTCCCACCAATTAGACACTAACTGTTTAAAGGTGTACCTTCCCTCGTTATATAATCGGCAGCTACACAGCTTTGACCAATTGTGCTATCTTCCTGGTTTACCGCAGGAGCACAGTAATTGTAACTGGGCTCTCTGACCATCCACCAGAACCAAGGCTCTTACTTAGGTTAACTTCTGGATGCTTTGGCTCTAATGACTGTGGACACCTTTGGAAATGCAAGGCACAGGAAATCAAGAGTGATGAGACCAGGCGACCAATCACGTCTGGCTTTATTATGCAGCAATAAATGACAATCTGGTATACTGGTATACTGGTATACTTAGAACCAATCAAAAACATTTTTTACTAATATTTTCTGCCGGTGCTGCCTTTATTGGTTGCAGATTTGGTTACAGTAAAGGCTTTGTAATGCATAAATGTCATGAAAAAATAGGGAGCTGATGCTGTTGACTGAAAATTCTAGGTGCCTGGATGGTATGCTGACCCATTTCATTTAAACGTCTTGAGTCCCGGACATGAAACAAGTATGCAGGTCAAGAAATTCAGAGTAATACCAGTCCTTACCTGCACTTTTGTTACAGGTCAGTGACTCAAAATTTTGAAACAGCAGGGTCACTATCACTACAAGGAACCTACAATTTTAGTAGAGGTCAGCCGCCATATTTCTCCTATAGCAAGTTGCCTCCAGAAGAGCCCTTCATAGTCCTGTCCTATCTCCTGGGTACTGTCATTATCCAACTTCTTTTGCACTTATAGAAGTTTGAAGGTTTGCAACTTTACATTATTGCTTTGTGAAGTATATAAATGTGTTTTATAATGTTTCTTAAAGTTCCCCTTCCAAAAAACAGACACATTTTAACTAAATGGTCTTTAATGAATACATTACAGAACAATAAAGTAAGTTTGAATTAACTACCAAACAATAATTAACCACTCAGAAAACCAGTCAAACTATACCAAGATTAAAAATGCAATTTGATTAAAAGTTATGGATTGCTGCACATCATTGCTGTATTGTACCTTTTTGTCATTTGACTAAGATTTACATTTACCTTATGTTTCATTGTTTTTGCAAAATCGACTAATTTTAAAATAAGAAATACCAAAATAAACTTACCTCCACCACCTCCAAGAAGACTCGAGTTTGCTGAAAAGAAAGAAAAAGAAAATATTAAGGTCACATAAACAAAACAAAGCCTGTTATGTTCAGCTCAACTACAAGTGACCAATGTGCTCTCCTGGCCTGATGCATTTCAATTTCACACACCTGGGCTGTTGTAAATCAATGACACACTGACTACATCAGTTCCCACCAGAGATATTCTTCTTAAGCATATCTAAATTATTGTCACAGCCTATGCATCAACGGTTTTATGCCCCACTTCTGATTATGAAGCTTAAAGTATTTAATTAAAACGCTGTCAAGATATAACATTTTCACAGCACAATGTCTTTTGAAAAAAAAAAAAATCCACATTATCTAAATACCATCCCTGTGTGTTATTTGAAGACATTTAGCTAGGAGTGAGCTTGGACGACCCAGGACTGGAAAGCAGAAAGCAAGATTAATTAGCTGGGACAAAGAAAGGAAAAACACTTTCAACTTCAGATCAAGATCTTCAAGAAAGTTAATTCTATGCTATCCTATGGTACTAATCTTTGTTAGGTACGTTACTGGACACTGGCACAGACACTTGGAAAGGAATACTTTCCGAAAAGAATCATTACTTGCAGTACTCAACTGTTCTAGTAGCTACAATACATCTTTGAGATGTTTAATAGTCCATGTAATATATATGAAGTAGAATATAAATCACTTTAGTCCTTAATGCTGCCTGCAGTCATTAGATGGTGGTCAGAGTTAATTATGCAACCCTGCCACCAACCACTCCATTGACAGCTAATTTTACAAACATAGGAAAAGCTTGCATGTTTGTGCCAAAGCAAAAACAAGGCCTTGAGGTCACCAGATGTCTGGTATCAATTTGCTAGTAAAATTCACCCGAGCCAATCAGCTGCGAAACACGGGTCAGTGTCAAAGTGGGATCTACCAACATACCAATGTGACTCAGCTTTGCTGCAATGCTCTACATTTAGTTGGCCTATCAGGAATCAGAGAATGGCACATTCCAGGTGAAGACTACCACCAAAATATTTTATAGTAGCATTTAACTTTCAAACTTTTTTTCAAAAAATATATCTAGATCTTATATTGCCCCCGCAAAGTATTTCTGATTTCTAAATTTTTACCCATGCAGTTATACGCATCATGTTTCCAAACAGCTCCAACTCTCTCAACTTGGCTTTCCTGGGCTTCCTGTACAGTACAAGATCAAAAGGGATAGTGCAGTCTACAGCAGCTGTCCATCTATTCGAATGGGGAGAAGGGAAGAGGGGGGTTTAGAGAAGACCCTGCAAGAGAAAGGAGCCACCCTATAACAGGATGTCAGGGCCAGAGCTCAGGGGATCAGCTGATTCTGCAGGAAGCTAAAACTTGTAAACATCAGGGAGCAGCATTCATTGTAAGTGGTTTATTCAGTGTTTGAAATAGTTTAAAAACCTTTTGACTTTAATATCACTTTAACCCTGCGTAAGATTCACTTTACCCCAATCAGGTATACACACTTGCATGCTCATATTATACACAGCTGCAGAACAGTTTAGGATCAGGGCTTGATTCCTTCTAAACTAACTTGCAGAGCATGCATGGAAGATTTCCTTGTACTAACATTCAGTAACATAACATTCTCTCTGCATTCATTCTTCGGTCTCTAGCAGCCTTCTGTAACTAGTAGTCTCTAATATACTGTAATTTGGCAAGTCTTTAACAATTTCTGGTAATGTGACAAAAGTCTCTAATATTCTCTTGTAACATGGCAGATGTCTCTAAATTGACAGAATAGCAGAATAGGAGGTATCCTATATTCTGTTTGCGACTCTCTATTCTGCGGAATAAACAGCTTAACCTTATTCTGAACCACAAAATGCATCACATTCCAGAGCTCCTTTGTAAGGTTGCTAGCAATGTAAGAGCTAGGAGGTTTAAATCCAATGAAGGAGTGACACACTTGTCAAAAAAGTGAAATGACTGACAACACTGAATGTCAGCAAGAGGTGAGCAATCAGAACAAGTAGTTTCCTGTCAATTCCTGCAACAATCTACAGAAGTAGTCATGAATCGTGACTTGACTGTGTTGTCAGTTGATCTGTCCAAAAATGAGCATACAGCCAAAAATATATAATTGTATGGGGTGGTTAAATTTAGAGCAGGGTTTTGAGCATCTTTTTAAATTAATGGAGTAAAATGTACTATTTTAATATATACACACTATATTGTCAAAAGTATTGGGACGCCTGTCTTTACACGCCCATGAACTTCAATGGCATCCCAGTCTTAGTCCGTAGGGTTCAATATTGAGTTGGCCCGCCCTTTGCAGCTATAACAGCTTCAACTCTTCTGGGAAGGTGTCCACAAGGTTTAGGAGTGTGTCTAAGGGAATGTTTGACCATTCTTCCAGAAGCGCATTTGTGAGGTCAGGTTCTGATGTTGGACGAGAAGGACTGGCTCGCAACGATGGACTTATTGCACAGGTGGCAACTTATCATGGTACCAAGCTTGAATTCACTGAGACCCTGAGAGTGACCCATTCTTTCACAAATGTTTGCAGAAGCAGTCTGCATGCCTTGGTTCTTTTTTTTTCTTTTTTCTTTACACCTGTGGCCATAGAGGTGATTGGAATGCCTGAATCCAATGATTTGGAGGGGTGTCCGCTTACTTTTGGCAATATAGTGTATATAATATATATATATATATGTATGTGTGTGTGTGTGTGTGTTAGTACAGACATATAAATCTGTATAAGTTTATTATTGAGAGAAGAATTCAAGAAAGTAATATAACATACATACAGTAATTATATAACGAACTATACACCGATCAGCCATAACATTATGACCACCCGCCTAATATTGAGTAGGTCGCCATTTTGCCACCAAAACAGCCCTGATCCATTGAGGCATGGATTCCACTAGACCTCTGAAGGTATGCTGTGGTATCTGGCACCAAGTCATCAGAGCAGATCCTTTAAATCCTATAAGTTGTGAGGTGGGGCCTGCTCTCCACATGAATCAGTGAGCCTGAGCTGTCCATGACCCTCGTAATAAGATAAGTGTATTCAAGTCAATGCTCAGTGGACATAATGTTATGGTTGATCAGTGTATAACTACAGTAAATCATGCTATTTTGTTTTTTTACTCTCACAAAACTTCCATTTCTTTTTTTGTCTCCACCTAGCTATGATGTTGACAAAGGTAAAAACAAAATTTTCTCTTTTTGTAACCAAAGAAATAGTAATCACTATATTGTTTTTTGCAATATGGCCAATACATTTACATGTTCTCTTTAATATTCCTTCCAACAGATGTAGTTTTGCCTTATTGACTCTTTGCAGTATCTCTTTATTCGTGACCAGGTCCATCCAGCTGAATTTCAAGGTTTAGCAAGACTGAACAATTTATATTATAAACCACTAGTGTTTTGTCAGTAATGTTAAACACCTGACCCCACAGGTAATGAAGACTGAACTTTCAAATGTGATGACATCTTCAAGATGGAAGCTGTTTTCACATGGGAGATTAGATTTCACCTCAAGATTACCTGTAAAGTTAAAAGCTTTCAGGGAGTCATCTCTCAGTTACAGGAAATATGGTTTATAAACCTCCCAATTCTTTTAAAAAGGTGTTAGACCCTTTATTTATGATAACCAAATGATCTGGCTGAAGCGCACATCACACCACACCTCATACCTAAATGTCATTGACAGAGCAAAGGCAGCTGGGGGAACACAGCAAACAAGGCTTGAATTGACATGAAATGTTAAAATTCATGGGTCAGTTTTCACCCTGCGACTGTCCCAGTGACACCAGAATTCAGTATGGTATGATTCAGTGAGACTTACTACTATAGGCAAGTAAAATCAATCAGCTAATTCCATTGGTAACACTACAGAGACACTTAATAGGAACATGCACTGAAAAAAATATCTAGGTATTCTACTGCCAGACTGAACATAACGGTTGGGCAAGACTGTAACTCTCAGAAGTCATTTTGTGTCATGGTAAAATTCTGCTCTCTTGCTAACTGCAATGAATCCCATACTGAACTACGGTATCACTTTAAAATGTAGGCAACTCTATACTGACATTGTCAGTATGTGTTGTAATGCTGTGCTGCTGACAGCATCTGCTAGATATTCCTCCCCATCTTGTAGTCTTGTGCATCCTATTTAATCTCTGCATATAATTTGAGTTATCCTCAGATTATAAAGTTATGTTCATACAGGGGCTTAATTACGAATCATGGGGTCCCATAGCAAAACTAACACTCTCTGTGGTGGCTGGCAGTGTCAACTGTGACAATATGGGGTTGATTTACTAACCTTATAAACACACCACGAACATGTATACACCTCTGTAGTGTGTTCCCTCCCAGCATGATCTATTGCTGGAATCTAAACACCTTTTGTAGTGTGTACACACCCAGCAGGTGTGTTGTGCAAAGCCTTGCATGAATTGCAAGGCGATGTTGTGTAAATTAGCTCTATGTTGTGTTGCTTGCGTTGATGAATGCATGAATGTAAATGCATGAGCTAACCATTTTTGTCTAAACTGTGAAGCAGCATTATATATGCATCATGTGCATGATTTTTCCATATATGGCATTAGTGGATATATGCTTTTAGAGACTTTTTGGTTGATAAATAAGTTTTGCTGTGTGAAAATCACACGCACCTGGTGCGTGCGTGTGTTTAGGTTAGTAAATCACCCCCTATGTGTCATTGATCTTAACATGAAATATGTACCAGGCAGTAGGAGTGCTGCAAGCATAGTCAGTACACTACTAGGGGGTACAAGTTAAAGTAGCACTAATAATAATAACAACCATAATGATATTTTATATTATGATAAAATGAATAATGCTCTTGCACACACTTACTCTTCAATCCCAATACACACTTCTTTTAGCTGTAGCTTCATTAAATGTCTTTGTAGAACCGCAAACTTCAGCCCTACTATAAGGTTTTAACAGGGCTGAATCTCTGGGATTTGTGACTGCATTAGGAATACAGGGTTTGATCTGTAACAGAA